AGTTAGTTCAGTCGTAACAGAGAAGCAGCAATACGTTTCATTGATAGAAAACAGCGAGTTCTCAAAGTTTAAAGGTTAATGTGATAGTGATTTAGCAGGATTTGATGGCAAAGTACACTTGATTAATCATTTACTGCATATACGACAGGGTCAGACAAAACTGTCAGGGAGACCCTCGTGTTTAGACATGAGGTTCAGAGTGACCCCCTTGCTCTCTGAACTCCTTCTCAGAGAGGAGTCTAGGTGCTGCTGGATTCAATCCTAGCCCCAGACTGGGTCAACGGTTTATGTCTAAAGGATTATACACGTGCAATCAATCCTTTCTATCACTTCACTAAGATTTCACAGTTTAGCATGCTATTAGTCACTTACCAAGAATCTGTCGTGGCAAGGAATATCTCACCCTTGAGGAGTAACCTCGAGAGGCGTCCCCACTCAAGGGGAGATCCTGGCATGCAGCCCCCTGCCCTGCAGGAGAGCTCAACGGGCCCTGGGCTGTCCACTATTTATGGAGTAAGATGATTGACTTATATTTGCATACTAGCCATATTTTTGTTAGTACAATGTCAAGTAGCCTTCAGGTGTTTGAGCAAGATGCACAAGATAACCCTTGGCTATTGTGGTGTTGTCTGTCTCTCCCCTGAATCTACTCAGAGCTGGATGCAGCAGCCATCACAACCAGACGCATCCCTTACAGTCACCACTGATGGTTACTGCTTGAACAGGGTTACAGGAGAAAAGGGTCAGGTTGTGGATGGGGGGAAGCACACCATCATACCCTTCTAGGACCCAGTTCCGGGGTCAAGGACAAATTAAGATTGTTGCTACAAGCGAGGTCGAGAAGTCTACTGTGAGTTTGCTAGGCATGCCCTTGTCTCAGTCTCTCTTGCCTTTTTTGACGAGCATCTGGAGGAGGGGAGAAGATTTTTTTCCCCCTATTGGTGGAAAATAGTAGGCCTTGACTTTTGACAGATTTACTGTAACAGAGGTAATTAGTACAAACATTCCAACTGGCATTCATTAGTAAAATAGACCTCACACACATCAAGCTGAGTCTTCATATATAATACATACACACAGACCCATGTACGTTTATGTATACACACACGATGCAAAGTCTCCTTCAACACTGAAGATCAGTTAGCTCTGTGTAGAGACACTAAGGCTTCTTTTCATTATCTTTGCCTCCCATTTTCAGGCACTTTCAAGATTATACAAGTGTTGGTGGACACAAAGTCTTTTAGACTCTTGTTGTCCAAGAAAATTCACAAAACTTAGGAAAAATGTTGCTTTATTGACAACAATATTGTGCTTCAATGCTTTGTCATTTCAAATTCTGTTTCAACATTTTACATTATCCGTTAAAGTACTACACGAAAGCAAACTTTCTTTAAAAAAATACAGAAAATCATGGTAGTAAAATAGTAGCTTTACCCACAAATAATGCACACCAGGCTCAAGTATAGAAACTAGACATTTGAAAACCCTCTTCACACAGGGTGGTGCACTGTATATGAAATGCAATTAAACAGGCTGACATCTGAGGGTTACTCATCACTTCAGCCAATCCTCATGAGGACTTCCAAAAGAAAGGCAGTCAGTGTTCAGTGTTTCAAAACTGTCATGCAGCTACAACTAAACCACAACTGGTTGTCCACTAAGGGATTATGTATCCCAGCTCCAGAATAATGAAGCACTGTTAAGTCCACTCATCTCAACACTAGGTTAAACCACAATAGTAAACAAAGAATTGAAAGTATGTCTGGCTATGTTTCACTGCTCATCAGATGAGTTCTTTCTTCATTATTACCAGAAGAATTTTGCAGGCTGGAACTGGAACTGTTTGCACAAGGAAAAGAACAGAAGGGAAGAAGCAGGTTTAATATTCTCTAGATACTTCTATGCAATACTAACATTACAGCAAAAAAGCCACACATTACATGGAAAGAACTACATGGATCACTGGAATTCATTCCCCACCATTGCACAGAACCACGTACTATTACTTTCACACCTATAATTTCACAGAATCACAGAATGGTTCGGGTTGGAAGGGACTTTAATGGTTATGTAGACCGATCCCCCTGCAATGAGCAGGGACATCTTCAACTAGATCAGGTTGCTCAGAGCCACGTACAACCTGACCTTGAATGTTTCCAGGGATGGGGCATCTTCCACCTCTCTGGGCAACCTGTTTCAGTGTTTCACCACCCTCATAATAAAAAATTTCTTCCTCCTATCTAGTCTGAATCTACCCTCTTTTTGTTTAAAAACCTTACCCCTTGTCTTATTACAACAGGCCCTGCTAAAAAGTTTGTACTCATCCTTCTCATAAGCCCCCTTTAAGCACTGAAAGGCTGCTACAAGGTCTCCCCAGAGCCTTCTCTTCTCCAGGCTGAACAACCCCAACTCTCTCTGCCTGCCCTCATATGGGAGGTGCTCCAGCCCTCTGATCACTTTTGCAACCCTCCTCTGGACCTGCTTCAACAGGTCCATGTCTTTTTTGTGCTGAGGACTACAGAGCTGGATGCAGGACTCCAAGTGGAGTCTCACCAGAGTGGAGTAGAGGGGCAGAATCACGTCCTTCACCCTGATGACCATGCTTTTTTTTCATGCAGCCCAGGATATGGTTGGCTTTCTGGGCTGCAAGAGCACATTGACAGCTCATGTCCAGCTTTTAATTCACCAGTACCCCCAAGTTCTTCTCCACAAGGCTGCTCTCATTCCCGTCATCTCCCAGACTGTACCGATACTGGGGGTTACCCCAACTCAGGTGCAGGACCTTGCACTTGGCCTTGTTGAACATCATGAGGTTCACATGGGCCCACTTCTCGAGCTTGTCTACCTCCTTCTGAATAGCATCCCATCTCTCAGGTGTGTTAACTGCACCACTCAGCTTGGTGTCATCTGCAAATTTGCTGAGGGTGCACTCAATCCACTGTCTATGTCATTGCTGAAGATATTAAACAGTAGTAGTCCCAATATGGACCCCTGAGGGACACCACTCATCACTGATGTCCGTCTGGACATTGAGCCATTGACCACTACTCTCTGGATGTGACTGTCCAGCCAATTCCAGCTCGCAGTTCCTGGAGGAATGATCAGTAGGGTTTGCTCAGTAATGCCACAGACTTGTTGCTTGTATAGAACAGGCATTGCCTGGCTTAGGCCTCTGTTTAAGTCAGTAGGGATTTAGGAAAGCATACAAAGTATTTAAGCAATATTTTTACTGCTCATCTTGTCATTCATTATCAGGTTGTTAGTGAGGAAAAAATGGAAGCACAGCTTCCCACCATTTGCTTCATATGGCTGCAGGCAAAATAAAAAGATATCTCAGCGTACCTTCTCCTTGTTGCTTCAGTGATATAGAATATTCCAGTTGCAAGACCCTTTGAGGAAACAGTAAGTTACAATTTTAATAATAACTTTATGCAATAGCTCACAATTACAATAGGTATAAGAAGCAAAAAGTATGTAACTACTTACGGTTAACAGTGCCCATACTCCTTGGATGGCTGAGGCCCATTCAAAACCCAGCTTTTCATTTAGAAAGCCTCCTAGTGTGGGACCTGCAAATGCCCTGCAACAAATCAAAATGAGGTATTGGCATCCCAAACAAAAAAGATAACATATCATATTCTCAGAGAACTTTTAAATTGTGTTTGATGGCCTCCCTCTATTGATTCTCTCTCCTTTGTCAACAAAGAGATTGTCTTCCACAAACCTAACTTTCCTATAATCCACAGTAAGTATTAATTCTTTATTTGCCATGGCCCCAATAAACCTGTCTAGTTACCTCCTCAGCTGCAAATAGGATCCACATTGGAAAGCTGAATGCACTCTTTTCTGTATCTGGAATAGCTTAGGGGCCCCGTTAAGGACCATGTTCTAACAGAGCATCTACACAGATCATTTCTACCATATAAGAAATTTAAACTCTCATCCCTCAAAATGTAAACCTTCCAAACTTCAAGACAAAAGACTGACAGATATAGTGTGTGACACGGTCACTGCAAGGTTGAGCTGTAGGTAACTGCCCTGCACCTTCGTGCCTGTCTAATAATGCCATGAAAGGTTA